CATACAGGTTTCCTGAGGACATCTGAGATGTGGCTGTGGAACATGGAACATAGCAAGACCTGGAGACTCCAGTAAGCTGTTATACTTTGGTGTTTCCCAATGAACTAAGCCCCTCAGTATTTACACTTTGTCTAATCTATTCTGTTTTTTAGCCTATATCTTGTCATTTGGCTGGCTTTGGTCAGTAGGACATTAACAGAGCAATACACATGGAAGTTTGTTCCTTGAGTTGCTGCCAGTCTACTGAAAGAGGAGAGGCCATGTGGACAGAGCCTAGAAGAAAGACATTTTGTACAACCTGGTCACAACCAAACTCCTTGTATGATACATCGTCAGTGTCTAAGCTCCATGACATAGAACCAAACTGCCCAAGTGATCCTCATCCAACCACAGAGCATGAGAAAAATTAAACTGATTGTGAAGTCTGATATTCGAAAAAGGCTCTTATCTCCAACTGGAGGTTCATCTTATCGCAAGACTTGACACCACACAGCCACAGTTTCCCTCAGTGGACTCCCAGAACACATTATTAAATACATTGGTCATCACTTCTAACTTCTCTGGGAAAGAAGAAGGGGGAATTGTCAGGTTTTAGAGAAAAGGAAGGCAGAGGGGTGAAAAGACAGTAGCCTGTACTCTTGTTGGGATGGGTTTTTTTTTCTCCTTTTTTAAAGGCTTAAATAAAGTTAAAAATTTGAGGTCCTATTTTCCTGGACTACCTCCAAACTGAAAACCAACCCAAGCACATAATCTAGTTATTCTTCAATTATTGTCTTCCAGATTCTGCTGCTTGTGTTTTCTGTCCCTCTCATATTTCCCGGAATAACTGTCTGTGCTCCCCATGAGGCAAGGAAAGAACACACAGTCACAAGCAGGACCCCAAGGTGTGGTCCTCAAAAGCCTGGGTGACTCTTGAATGCACCTAATCCCTCAGTGATTTCCATGTGCTCAAGTGTCAGAAAGTTCCCAGCTTCTCTGTGCTTTAGAGCATTTCATTAGGAGAATGACATGAAGAGGAGAAAAACTAGGTTGTGCTCTTTGTCCAATGCAGGTGGGACAGAGAACAGGAGGTAGGGAGGATAGGGAGATGAAGATACATTATCAGTAAACATTGGTAAGGTGCTAACGTCCTAGAATGCTAGCACTTCAGGGATCTCAGATCAAGCCACTTGACAGCCCTCACTTCACTAAAGGGACAATGAAGAGTGGATAAGGAACAGGTGAAGCTTGTCCAAGGCCTGCCAGCTAGTTAGAACCTGGGCAGGACAATGATTCACGGAGGTGTCCACAGATAAGGAACATACTTCACCCGGCATGGAGTGTGGTCATTTTGGGTCAAATATAGGGTTGAATCACATAGGAACATGGGAGGGTTAATAGACATAGGAAGAAGGTAAAGATATATGTTACAGTCTAAAAAGAGGAATGTGGCATCAGGATCAGAGGAAGATTCATCAATAACCTGTGTTATGCAGATGATACAGCCTTGTTTGCTGAGAGTGATGAGGATTTGAAGCACTTGTTGCCGAAGATCAAAGAATACAACCTCCAATATGCATTGCATCTCAATGTCAAGAAAACAAAAACTCTCACCAGAGGACCAATAGACAACAACATGATAGATGGAAAAAAGATTGAACTTGTCAACAATTTCACCTTACTTGGATCCACAATCAACATCATTGGTACTAGCACACAAGTGTACCTGATTTAGGCCATGGTCTTTCTGATCACTTGTTGTTCATCTGAAAGTTGAATAATGTATAAACATGATTTAACTAACAAGTTAAAAGTACATGAGTCAAAAATTAAAAAGCAATAATATTCGGTTGGAAGATGACGGAGGTGGAGAGCACAGTGTGAAGAGCCAGAGGGATAGCAAGCTGCATAAAGACGGGACACCAGAGAGTACTTTATGCTCCACAGAGACTGACCATCACAGCGTGACGTGAACAGTAGGATTTTGAATCAGAACTTTTGCTAACACATTATTTTAGAAGCTTTAAAAACTGGAACCTGCCTGCCTGCCCCGCCATGGTCCCATCGCAGACCCAGCAAAAGCTGGAACCCACTAGCTGAGCTGAGCTGCATTGAGACTCACCTGAAAGGAAAAAGGTTAGTGGGGAAATCGGCTGAATTCTCTTAAGCCCACTAAAACCTGGAGGGTCTGAGGTGCGGCGTGGACAATAGGAATTGAATCATAACTTTTGTTGAAACTTTTAGTATTGGAGCTGTGGGAACAAAGCTGCGTGGACTTGGCAAAAACTGGAAACCACTAGATGAGTTTCTAAGAGACCCAGTTGAAAGGAGAAAACTTAGTGGGGAAATTGGCTTAATTCGCTTAAGCTCCACTAAGATCCAGTGGGTCTGTTGAGTGACATGGACAGTAGAAATTTGAATCAGAACTTCTGTTGGAGTAGACTCAGAACAAGCTAACAGTCTCAGTTGAAATCCGGACCACATTTCGGTCCACACTGCAGATCAGCAAAAAAACAGAAACTGCAAGCTGAGCTTCTGAGGGACCCATTTGAAAGGGATAAACTTGGTGGGGGTGGGGAAAGTGGCTGAATTCTCTAAAGCCCCACTAAGGCCCAGTGGGTTTGTTGCATGATGGAGACAGTAGGAATTTAAATAAGAACTTTTGATGGATTATAGTCGGAACTGTACGAAAACAGCCTGGGTTGCACTCTGGTTCACATTTTAGTGCCCACTCCGGATCAGCAAAAGCCAGAAGCTGCTGGACCCATTTGAAAGGGGAAATCTTAGTGGGGAAATTGGCTGAATCCTTTTAAGCCCCACTAAGACCCAGTGGGTCTGTTGTTTGATGTGGACAATAGGAATTCTAAAAAGAACTTTCATTGATACAAATAGTTTTAGGAACCACAGGATCTTAAACCCGTACTGCTTTACAGAAATTTGACTGGTCCTCCTAGGCAGCAGCCACTGGTTGAAGGCACTGGGTAGTGCCACTGGGGAGGGGCCTCTGAGTGAGAACTGCTGACTGGGAGACAGACAGCGGCAACTCGACCAGGGTCCTCAATCGTGAGCACACCTGGGCAGCTAAGGTCTGAGTGAGGTCCCTCAACTGGTTGACCCACCCTGGTGACTATTTCACCTCCCTGCCTGCCCCACCCCATTTGACTCCACTCTAATTATGGTCTATTACAGAGAAGGCATGGAGGTATTAAAACCGCATGAATTATTTCTCAACCAAATATTATTTCATCAGGTAGGTATATGAGAAATAAAGATGCATAGGGTAGATTTTATCTACTAACAAAGTAATCAGACACATAAGCAAACATGATTATACAGAGGTGTTTGTTGCAATGATTTCCAATAGTAAAAGATAGCTATAAAGTATGTGTTGTTAGGTGCCATTGAGTATACACTGGCTCGTAGTCACCCCATGTGACAGGGTGCAACTGCCCTATAGGGTTCTTTAAAGAGGTAGGTTGCTATGTTTTTGTTTTGTGGAGTAGCTGGATGTTAGGAATACCAGCCTTTTGGCTAGCAGCCAAGTAACTATTGTGTCACAAGCAATTGGAATAAATAAATTATGGTGCAGCTATGTAATTAAATAATATATGCTTAAAAAAAAGGACTCCACAACAACAAAAATCCAAACTCATTGCTGTGTAGTCCATTCTGACTCACACAGAAGATGTGGGACAGAGCAGAACAGTCCTTTGGGGTTTCTAGGTGTAAATTGTGGTGGAAGGGGGCTGGCATGTCTTTCTTCCATGGAGCAGTTAGTGAGTTCAGACTTTATTTCTGTAACCCCTACACATTATATTGCAATTAATATTTTATATGGAAAGATGTTTTCTTTAACTATAAGAAAACAACCTGCTTAAAAATAAAAGTTATAGGTTTATGATGCAGTTGAATGAAAATCTGTAGTTATGTGCATATATGTGAACAAGAAGACAGTGTTGTCTTTTTCTTTCTGATCTTGAACTCACAGGAAATATCTCTACATTTCTTCCTGCTCAGAGGGATTTTTCAACAATGAATACGGAGGTCAAACAACTTCTAGGAAAGAGAGGCTCACCTCCAGCAGCTCCCACAGGAAGAACATAAAAAGGAAGAAAAAATGCAGGGAGAGAGGAAGCAAGGGCAGGGATGAGAAGGTCAGAAACCATGCTGGTGAGAAAGGAGAGGAAGAAGGAAGAGAATAATTTCGAAAGTATTTTTTCTGAGCTGCACTTTATCCTGACGCTCTTGGGTCTGGAAGGACCTGGTGATCTAGAAACTATGTGCTCAATGGGAGCTGAAAAAAATCTCAAGGGAGTGCTTAGGGACTGCTGTGAAGAGATTGTCTGCAGATGTTATTGTTGTTGATTGCCTTCGAGACAAGCATGACTCATAGTGACCCCATGAACAAAAGGTCTGAAGCCCTTCTACAACTATGGACATTTATAAAATTTCATAAAGATTCTGGAGACATGTTATTTAAGAAGTGGATGCCACTCCTGCTTCCAAATCTCTCACAGTATGTTATGGTTGTGATTTGCCTTTGAGTACCTACAATGTACAGCAGCTCTGAACCCTTCCCTGTCCTGAGCCAGTCTCACGAATTCCGACACACCAACTACTATTGCCCCAGTTACTGTAAATTGTCTGCAGATATTTCCCTCTTCAGAGAAATAATGAGCAGCAGGTGTTTCTAGAGACTGTCTGAGGTCACTCTGGAAAACCCTGCTCCTCCTCTGCAGTGGCAGTTTCTGGTCACCTCCCCAATGCATACTTAATAGGGCCGAGGCATCTTCGGAGGAGCTGCTGACATCATAGTCTCTGGCAGGGAGAAATTATTTGCTGTGTCCTTTGGAGAGCTGTGTTTCCACTGGATCCTGCCTGGTTCCAGACCCAGAATACTCTTCTCTGTGCAGGCTCAGGAAGCTGCTCAGCCACCCTGACAGCTCAGCTGGCCTCTACTGAAAGGTTTCTGTCATCTATTCAAAAATAGAGGCATCTATCTGCACACTGGAGAGCTCAAGATGGTCCTGAGTGGGGTGCTATGCTTCCGGTGAGTAACTGTGCAGCAGAGGATGTGATGGTGTCTTCTGAGGGAAGTGAGTTGGTAGACCTGTTGTCCACGTGAGGCAGGAGTGAACTGTGGTTGCCCTGACCTGTGGCTCTCACGGGTGGGACAGGTAGTTGGGATGTTGTGAGTAGCACCTTCCTGCCTTAGAAATGTTCTTCCAGTCTTGTGAAGGCTGAAGTAGTCATTTCATGGGGGTTTCCTAAGGCTGGGGAGAGGGGCAAAACCTGAAATCTAGCCCATCGGTAATGGGACGAAATCTTGAAGTCAGGAGAACTATCTTGGAACACTACTGTTGCCATCCACTTTGCTGACCTGACTTCAGGCCAACTTTCCATGTCACTGCCTCTTTGATGCCTCTTGCACTTCAAAAAAATTACTCAGTCTGTCTGTTCACTGGCATGTATTGAACTGGGCATTTTGCTGAACCCAAATCTTTACAACAGAGAATGAGATTGCTCTACACATTCCACCAAGTAAGAAACCTGAGTCTACTGAGATGTTTTCGGTGAAGAAACTCCCTAGTTATCTAAAAATGTGGGAAACACTATTTTCTATGCAACTCAGCGTATTACATAGAGAGGCTTACTGGCGTGTGTTCAGCCAGATATTGAACCAATTTGTACACAGCATCCTTCCCCATTGTATTCCCTTATATGACTTATGAAGAAACTAATTTAATTATTTCTTTCATTTCACAAGACTTTAGAAAATCAACTGAGATCATAGATACAAATTTTCATAAAATAAAATAAAGACTATTGAGCTTCAAGACATTTTGTCACTTATTAAGGCAATTTCTATCTTGCTGTCATCAATACAACTGACAAATCAGATTTTAATGCAGGCTAGACCAAGGTATTACATGACCCATGGTCTTAGTGTAGCAATAGGGAGACTTAGACTCAGAGGGAGAGAGCAAACTGCCTATTGTGACTCACAAAGGTGGCAGAAGTGTGATGAGAATCCAGCTTTCTGACTCTGTCCCATTGGTTCCCAGATTAACACATAACACTGGTTGGTAGTGAAAATCCTGAAAAGGGGGAGAGAGCAAATCCCAGTCTCAGATGAGAGACTGTGGGTTGGTCTCGCTGGTATTGGATCATCCCAACAGGGCTAGGAGAGATAAGAATAATGGACACAAAATGCCTAAAACTGGATGACACCTTGGAGTCTGATAAGGTGAGTGTCAAACATCATCTAATGGAGCCACCCAACTCTGCTGTTTCAGAATGAAGGATGCAGCACTGAAGGTGCTCTACCTGCACGAGAACCAGCTTATGGCTGGAGGACTGCACACGGGGAAGGTCATCAAAGGTTGGTGGCTTAACAGGAACCTACTGTCTTATGTCTCTGCACATCTGAGGGGAGGCAGCCTAAGGAGGATTTGAAATCTTCATGCACACAAACACAGGCCTCTGGGCCTCAGGCCTGATCTGTTTAAGTATGGCATCATTTAACGAGGCTGTGAGAAACACATGGGTTTACACTTATAGGCTCTGCACAGAGGTGGGAGCACTTTCCAAGAGGGATGAGACTTCTCTTTTCCTAGGCCTTACACAATAAGACAGGTTCTACAAAGTTTTCTTCTTCCCAGTGTAGGATAGGGCATATCATATACATCCTGCTCCCTAAAAATTCAGAGCTATGGAAAACAGGAAGCAAGGATACTCAACACCCTTGCATCTTGCCTCCTTCCTCTAGGTGAAGATATCAGTGTTGTCCCCAATCGGTCACTGGATGCCAGGTTCTCCCCAGTCATCCTGGGCATCCAGGGAGGGACTCGGTGTCTGTCATGTGGGACAGGAGTGGAACCAACTCTGAAGCTAGAGGTAAGTCTTGTTGGGATAACAACATCAACAGATGCTGAGCCCACTGAGACTATGCATTTTTCACCAGGAAGCCACCCCAGGGAATACTTTTGCAGGACTCAGTGGTAGCTCTGCATTTCCTCTCAAATCCTGCCCATTCTCTATCCTTGTTCCTCACCTACTCTGCCCTTCTTCTCATAGCCTGTGAATATCATGGAACTTTACCTCAATGCTGAAGAATCCAAGAGTTTCACCTCCTACAGGTGAGACACTGGGCTCACCTCCAGCTTTGAGTCAGCTGCCTTCCCAGACTGGTTCCTTTGTACAGTGCATGAAGCAGACCAGCCTCTGCGACTCACCCAGCTTTCTGAAGATGCCAGCTTGGATGCCCCCATCACCGACTTCTACGTTCAGCAGTGTGACTAAAGCAGTGTAATCTCAGAAGTCCTTGGGCATGACCAGCTTGGACCAGCAGGAGGAGACCCCTAGCAACCAGTCCTCCTCCACTGACATTGTCCTCACCTCTGGCTGGCATAGGATCACACTCCTTTCTTCTGGTTCTTATTTTGGTAAATTCTTCTGAGATTTGGCACTCAGTCCACAGTTCCCTTTCCTATTGGATGACACTGTGATGGTGGTACCTTGTGAAAACCACATGGGACTAACTGGGAGTAACACAAAATAATTTCTAAGATCCAGGGGGAAAGGAATCTAGGCATTATTCATATTTAATGGTAATATTTTTATTTTTAATGGTAATTTGAAGTCCCTGGGTGGTGCAAATTGTGAATGTGCTTGGTTGCTAACTGAAAAGTTAGAAGTTCAAGTCCATTAGACCTAGAAAGAAAAGCCTAGTAATCTGCTTTCAAAGCATCAGTCATTTAAAATTTTTTTGAACAATGTTTTTTTTTTTTTTTTTTTTTTTGTGAGTGTACAGTCAAATCAGATCTGACTGGTACAGGAGGAGATTGTCCCTCCTTCCCCGGCAGAGCATCTGGTGGATTCGAACTGTGTGCCTCTGGGATTGTAGTTGCAGCTCCTTGCCACTAGGCCACCAGATCTCCCCTGGAACAAGGGTTGTTATGAGCGGGAACTAACTCCATGGTGGATGTGTTCTATAATGGTACTCCGCGACCTTGAACCCTACAAGTCAGCCTGTCTGTAGTGGCCACCTATGACCTCCAGGTCCCCCCAGAGGTTCTGTGATACATCACAGCACAGGGAAGAGAAGATGGGTCATTAATTCACCCCCTCCCTCTTCTTAATTTTGCTGCTACCACATCCTTTCCCCATACCTGCCAAGGAAGTACAGGGTCTCATCCTTAAGCCATAGGTGTGAGACAGTTGTATTCCAATTCTGCAGTCAGTCTTAATTTTACAAAGTTGTCAAAAGAAATAAACTTTACTTTCTTTGAGTAAATTATAATTATCTCTCCTAAGGCAGGCGCCTTAAAAGAGATGAATAATTGTTCTGCAGAATCTTTCTACAGTCCTTTGCTTCTAGTCCAATAACCAGACTCAAGGCCCAGCAGGCCCAGAAAAGGGAGGTACAAAGTATGTCTCAGGAGGAGGCACACACCTTCCAAAGGAACTTCATTTCCCCTTATTATATGGGCATGAATATGAATAATATATGTGAGTATGGATATTAAGAATATGATATAATGTTGGAAGGAACATAAAGTTGGATCAGGTTGAAATGAGTGGTATGGGCCCAATAAACAGATTTTTGATTCAGTATTTCATCTTAAGGAATTATAAAGAGCTCAAATAATGTATGTATTTAGTTAGCCAATAAATGGGAAAGGTGCCTATATCAAGTGGAATTAAAACTGCTTTTGTAAGAAATTTTCCAAACACTTGAGGGAGTTGGAATATTAGAGTTTATATTTGATATGCCATACCTACCCCAGAATGTTTACAGCATCAATTTTTTCCTTATAACTGAGGAATGAAATTGTGAAGGAGTCCCAGTATTCTTGACAAGTTCTGTGGTGTCTCTTCTTTATAGGTTATATGTTACAGTAAGAACTGCTGCCACTGAGGAGTTGTTGTTGTGGTGTAGTTATTAGGTGCCATCAAGTCAAGTACACCTCATAGCAACTTCATGAACAAAAGTTCTGAAGCCTGTTCTATCCTGTACCATCCTCACACCTCCTGACACACAAGAGTCCATTGTCCATTGCAGCAGTCACCTTGTCATCTACCTGGTTGAGGATCTTACTCTGTTCCAATAACCCTCCACTCTTCCCAGCATCATTTCCTTCTCCAAGGAATAGTTCTTCCTAGAAACATGCCCAAAGTATGTAAGGTGAAGCCTCATCATTCTTGACTCCAAACAGTACTCCAGAAGCACCCTCTCCAAGATATAAATGTTCTTTTGGCAGTCCATGGAATGTTCAGTGCTCTTCTCCAACACCACAGCATGAAGGCTGCAATTCTTTTCCTGTCATCCTTATTCATTGTTCAGCTTTCATTTACAAGAAAAACTTTTTTTTTAATTTCTCATGTGTCTTTGCCAAATAAAACCCAAACCACTGATGTTGAGTTGATTATGACTCAGAGACCTATAGAACAGAGTAGACATTCTCTATACGATTTATGAGACTATAAATCTATACAGAAATAAACTACCCCATAATTCACCTCAGTGCAGCTGGTTGATTAGAACCACTGATTTCTAGGTGGTTGTTGTTATGTGCCATCGGGTGGACTACAACTCATAGCGACCCTATGCACAATAGCTCTGAACCCTGCTCTATCCTGAGCCAATTTCACTGTTGCTGACACACTTACCCTTATTGCTCACTCTGTCATTCCATTTAATCCATGATATTCCTCTCCTGCATTGTCCCTCGACTCTTCCAAGCAAGATATCCTTTTCCAAAGACTGGTCCCTCCTAGAAACATGTCCAAGGTATGGGAGATGGAGCTTCAAAATTCTTGCCTCCAAGGAGCATTTTTCTTTCTCCAGGATCTATCTGTTTGTTCTCTTGGCAGTCCATGGTATGCTCATATAATCTTGTCCAGCACCACAACTCAAAGGCATCACTTCTGTCATCCCTAGTCATTGTCCAGCTTTCTGATGGATAGCAAGTAATTGCAAAGACTGTTACCTGAATCAGGAGTACCTTAATCTCTAGACTAACATCATTGCTCTTCAGCACTCTGGAGAGGTTCCTGACAGTAGATTTCGTAATGCAATTAATCTTTTGATTTCTTGACTGCTGGTGCCAAGAGTGTTGATTGTGGAACTGAGCAAGCTGAAATTGTCAACAATTTCAATCTCTATCTATCATGATGGTACCAAATGGCCCAGTGGTGAGAATCTTCATGTGTTTTATATTGAGCTTTAATCCGTATTGCAGACTAAAGTCCTTGACCCTCTGCTGCAAATTCTTCAGGCTGTTCCCAGATTCAGAAAGTACATTTGTATCATATGCATAATGAATGTTGTTAATGAGTCTTTCTCCAATTCTGATGTCACATTCTTCTTCATAAAGTCCAGTCTTTCAAATAGTCTGTTCTGCATACAGACTGAAAAGGTATGGAGACAGGACACATCCCCTGACACACTCCTTTTCTGATTTTGAAGCATGCAGTGTTTCCTTTCTCCGTCAAAATGTCTTAACCACTACACCACCAGGAATTTTAAGCTTGGCTGCACAGTCAACATTCTTGGCACAAGCAGCCAGGAAAAGTAAAGACCTATTGCGATGGGAGAGTCTGCTGTTAGGGACTTCTCCAAAGTACTGAAGAACAATGGTGTCTCTCTAGACTGATACAGGCCATGGTCTTTGCAATCACTTGTTATGCATCAGAGAGTTGGACAATGACTAGGGAGGGTAGAAGGAGAATTGGTGCCTTTGAGCTGTGGGGCTGGAGAAGAGTATTGAGGGTACCATGGACTGCTCAGAAAACAAACAGATTCATCTTGGAGAGGGTTTAACTGGGTTGCTCCTTGGAGGCAAGGATTCTGAGGCTTCATCTGACATACTTTGGACATGTTGTAAGGAGGGACCAGTCCTTGGAGAGGGACATCATGCTTGGGAGGGTGGAAGGACAGTGCAGGAGAGGAAGGCCCTCTATGAGGGAGATTGAGTCAGTGACTGAGATAATCAGGATGGGTGTGTCAGCGGCAGTGTGATTGGCACAGGACAGAGCAGAGTTTAGGGCTGTTGTACATAGGGTCTCCATGAGTCGCAAGTGACTTGAGAGCACATAACAACAACAACAACGTTATTGTGTGCCGTGGAGTCAGAGCCAACCCATAGCTGACCCCCTAGTTTTCAGAGGTAGTAAATTAAACAGGAGGATATTGCCCATTCCTGTCCCATGGAGCAGCTGGTAAGTTTGAACTGTACACCTTTAGGATTGCAGCACAATTTCTTACCACTAGGCCACCAAAGTAACAGGTATTGCACAAGAGGTGGGGTGTTTACCTATATGACTTTGTTTTTTAATAATTCATAATGGACAGTATAGTAAATTAGTAATCAAAATAGTTTGACTTACTATGGCATTGGCTAGCAGAACAATGTATGTCTTTAGGACCAAAATAGATGAAAATGTGAAAACACTATTTGATCTGGATAAAGTGGAAGTTCTAGGTCAAGTAAACATAAGCTTAAGTTGAATCATCAAAACAATCATGAGGAGATGTGGAACAAGATGATTAAATGAACTGCGGCTCCCATTTACTGCCCCAGTAACAAGCTTACTAAGAAAAGAAATAAAAATAAACATGAACTGAGACCTTAGAAGGAAAGATGGAAGCAGTATTTTGGAGAATCTGATGTGAAGGTGAGGAGGAAGTTGAAATGGTAAAGAAACTAGAAGGAAGTCCACTACACCAGAGGCAGAGTTCATCACAGTCATTTAGGGATAAGGTTCATTACACCCCACACTGGGAACCCGGGAAAGCTTATCTGAGAAAGCTGCATTCCAGGTGTGTTGCTTTTGTGGTTGTTTTTTGGGTTTTTTTTTTAAATGGCACAGATTGATCTTAGGAGTATACAGACCTTGCATTTGGGAGGGGGCAAAGGAAGACGACGGAGCTGTAAGGATGTGCTGCTGAATCTTGCTAAGACTTAAAATGAATGGGTACTATTACTTGGAAGAACAGCAAGGGAAGTCTTAAAATGAATGAGTACCATGACTTGGAGGAACAGTAAAGGCAGCAGGACAATCTGATAAAATGATATATACAGAAAGTGAAGCACCACTAGTGAACTTATGTCAAGGAAACCGTGAGTGAGTCTAAAATAGCAGCCTTCCTACCTAGTTTGCAGGAAAGTTGAGTCCCACTGCTTTTGTCAGTATCTGTACTTCTACCCATACAAAACTCCTGAACTAGCACAGAATGAAATAAATACATGAGAATAAGGGTGCCCTCTAGTGGTTCTCAGGAAGAGAAACTAAACTTT